TGTTCAAGGGAGGGGGAAGGGGGGGAAGGGGGGGAAGGGGACGGGGCCGGGAGGCGGAGCTGAAGAGGAGCAGTTCGTGGAGTTAATTCGTGGTTTTTTCCCCTACTTTTTTGGGCAGAAAAATTCAACTAATATCTGGGAGGTGCTCAGAGTCACTAGAGCCGTTTCTGTCTCCTTTAAATTGAGCACGGGCCAAGTCCCATTTACCCTGATTCTTCATTTCTGGCGGCTGATCATCGTAATCTACCGCCAGAAATTTAGGTGGGACTTGGACCCAGGCTACCCAGTAGTAAGCAAACAGACCACTCGAAGAAACAACCCCTCCTAAGACCTCCAAAGGGTCCGACGATGGACACGCCGAAAAGAAGACCCCTGTGTGCCCCCCTTTTTCAGACAGATAGATTTACCACCATCTCACTACTGTAAGTAGTTGTACTCGTGGTACTAGTCCCATTGGTCGTTTTTGGGCCAAAAGAAGACCTCGCAACACAGAATACGATGGTCCTGGCTCATCGCTTCCGGTGATCCCTGTGTGTGCCTGATAATTAGCCTCTACAACACCCTGGAGTTTTTATAATACAAAAAAAACAAAAAAAAAAACGATGGTCCTAAAAAATCTGACCGTGTCTGAAAATCAACCCACGGCACTCCCATGTGCCTAAGCACAAGTCTCCACAACACAAGTGTGGCATTTTAAATCCACCTTTGGTTGGTTTTCCCAGTGTTACTGTGGGCGTCGCTCCACTACTGTTGACTTGCACAAAAGCCAAACATTATGGCGGTGTATCTTTCCATGTTCTGGCGGAAGATTCACTCTCGTTTTCAAGTTGTACATTTCGAGAGTAGTGGATCGAGGCCCTGTGTCGTACCAGATATAGCAGGGTACATCGAGTGTTCCGTGCCACTAACCTTGACTAACGAGGGCACAGCTTTGCGAATGGAAAAGACGTTTCAACACGCTTGGACACGAAATGTGGAAACGACTTTGCGAGGACCCCACAGCGGAGTGCGTTTTTTTTTGGGGGGGGGGAATGTTCTGGGCACTCCGGCCCAGTACACACCAAGGGTAGCCGTGTATTAACCGAGCCGGGAACCGGGTCCGGCGTCCCTCACATAAAAGCGGAGTTCAAAATGTGATCCCGACAGTTGACACAATACACTACATATGTACGATACACACACAACAGCTAAAGTAAGATGCCAAAGATAGAAAAAGCTGGATCCCCCCCCAAAAAAATCAATTAGCCTAGAGTCATCTCCAATCCGGACCAGCCTAGAGTCACCTCCAATCCGAACACACGTAATGTACAACATACACACACTACAGTCTTCCCCCGAATACAACGTACGGCCATTCTAGCTGAATTTGGTGTATCTTTCAGTCTAATTTCAGCTACAATGACCGTACGTTGTATTCGGGGGAAGACTTAACAACAAGCAGCAAAAACACAGTTCCTAAAGACAGCAACGTAGAGTCAGCTCTAAAACCGGCTCACTAAACAGCTCTGCAGTTATGTTCAGAAGGACGAACTAGAGAGCCAAAACCTAAAAGGACCTAACAACAGCACGACAGCAATCCCAATGGAAAACACATCGCTGTCAAAGAAAAAATGAAGAAAATCTGAGTTCCGGTCGACAGCCAGGGGGCGGAGTGCGTTTTGAGGCAAAGCGAGAGGGTTTTTTTTCCATAAAAGGAAACAGGCCTGGCATTCGACCCATAAAGGAAAGTGGGGGAGTGCCAAGTGGAGAACTGGAAGTCAAACCTGGACAAGCGACCTTGGAAGGATTCCAGACACCGCCCCCGCCTACCCTGCCCAGGGTGTCGCCGCACGGCACACGAAACGAAAACGAAACGAGTGCATCTGGCCACCAAAGGTGGCAAAATACACTCGTTACTATTTATAGCAAACCGATGAACCTGGCCATTTTCTAGGGGGGGATACATTCGTTTCGTTTTTCGTTTCGTGTGCCGTGCGGCAACGCCCCCAGTCGGCGCAATGACGAGGCGAGAAACCGCAATGGCAATACTTTTCCAGACAGACCATGTGAAAACATATGTAAGAAAAATAAATAAATAAATAAATAAATAAATAAATAAATAAGAAAATTCCATTTTTGCACGCCACAAAATTCGGGTTCTGGGATCCCCGAAAATCAGGAGAAAAAACCGTCCTTCCAAAGACTCCACGGGGCTATAGGCCAGGGGTGCTGGACCCCATTGGCCCCTGGACCCCATTGGCCAGAGGCTGGAAGAGCTCCTTCAAGTTGGCTGCAAAAAGCTGGCCAGTGTCGCTGGAAAAGAATTTGCACGTTTTGACACCCCACCGCGAACGTCTGGCGAGGCACTCGAGACGGCCAGGCACAGTATTGCGAAACGGGCAAAATAACATAATCATGATATAAAGCGAGTGCTGCCTGCTACGTACGGACGTCTGGCTACTTAGGCATCGATAAGTAATAATTTAATAAATAAATAAATAAATAAACTAATTACCCATTTGGCCATTTGACATTGACGTTCCTAGCCACAATTTCGGCGTTTTTTGTGCCCTGGACCTGTTTTTCCCCCCCTCCTTTTTAAGTCCTGGGGGGGCCGGGGTCTCGGTAGCTGCATGACTGTAGTTGGGGATGGGATTGGCTGGAAGTGCCTTTCCCAGCCTTGTATGGCTGCAACATTCAACCCTTGGTAAAAAAAAAAAAAAACATTTCGTCGTTTTCTGGACCGAAATCGTCGTGCCCTACTGGCGGGAGCCCGCAGCACGGTAAGCCCTGGCGATGTCGGTTCAAAAAACGCCGAAATTGCGGCCAGGAACGTCAATGTTAAATTTGAAAGTTCAACAATACCAAAAGAATAAATAAATAAATAAATAAATAAATAGATAGAAGCTGAAAATCTACGAAGTACGAAAGTGTGGCCCCAAAACAAAAAACTCCAAGTTGAAATTCGACAAAAATAAAGAAAAGATTGATACTCATCGAACAATCATATTATATAATTACACATACATAATGATACAATATATCTAGCTGTAAATATATATATATATATATATATCGTCACAAACAGAACTGCCCGATAAACCGTAGGCAGAGAGAGAGAAGAGGACAACAAACGAGGGGCTGTGACAAACTGTTTCGTCGGAGTTTCACCGACTCATCAGGAGGCTGAACCCTCAACAGTGATAGACTATCACTCACCCACACCAGATGGAAAACTATATATACATATATATATACGGTTTACCGGGCAGTTCTGTTTGTGAACTGCCCGGTAAACCGTAGGCAGAGAGAGAGAAGATATATATATACGTCTGTCCTGTAGGGTGTCCAACATTTCCTCATTGTACACATCCCTATCACCCAGATATACGTTGTCCCTATTGTGCCCAAGGACGCTATCAGAACTGTATGATGCCGCACTGTGATGAATGTCCTGCCGTGTTTTTGACATGTGGACAACACGTCCTCTGTCAGGACTGTTTTGATGGGATGGTTCGTGCTAGCCGTCCTGCAGAATGCTGTGCTGGCGCAGCTCTCCTTGGGCATCCTTGTGAACATCCAC